AACTGCGGCTGTGCCCTTAGGCAAGGTGCTTAACTCAGAATTGCATCAGTAAATATCCAGCTGTATAAATGGATAACACCTGAAAATTGTAACCTAAGTCTCTCTGGAAAAGAGCATCTGCTAAGTGACAATAATGTAGTGCAATGTATTAACCCAGTCAGCCTGGCAGTATGGATATAGTGATAACTGGCCTTATGTCATGGATACAGATCTAATGGGCCTGGTTTTGTGGATATAGTCAGCCACCATCAGTGACTCAGGGAAACAGGGAACATCCACAAACGATGATTACTGTAAGCAGACTCTGTCATCCCTTACTACGCACCGTAAAATCATCAGCACAAGAGTGTGGTATTTACACTAACAGGTCATAAAGGTGATGACCTGTTAGTGTAACGTTACCACAGTGAGGTTGAATAATACAACACAGCAACTTTCAACAATTTTAAAGAACCGCATGTTTAAAACAGCAGTAAAGGGCAGTGGTATGTTCTTGTGCTACTTACAGTGTCCTCTTCTGCTGAATGACTGTAAGGGTCTTATGACTGCGCAAATGAAATCTTGGCTGCAAGGGACTGCACAGATGGACACTTAACTACAAAGATCTGCGCAGATGAAATCACACCTATCGAGATGTCCTGCTTCTTAATGGCCCCGATCCAGGATCAAGTTGCCACTTATCTGCATCCCAAGTACAATACGAAAAAAAAAAATTTAAACTGATCTAAGGTCAGTGCTCGGGGGCGGAGTGTATCTGCGGCCCTGCTGGGTCTCTTGGGCCCGGCTGATTAAACCAACTGTCAAATCCCAGTGGCTTTTCTCCATCGACATGGCTCACAGCGAGGGCCTGTCAGTGAAATCTCTGCTTGGATAGAGGAGAGCTGGGGAGGGATTTCTAAGGAAAACAGTTTGAATGGCCTGCCAGATTCCAGCGTCCCCCACACACGCAGCCTGGTACCGCACTGTCCTCGTGAAAAGGGGGAGAATAGGTGAAGTGCGAAAATGGGTGCTCACTCAGTGCTGAGACAAGCCCCCCCCCACTCCACCAGATTTCTGCTGGCAGTGCGGTGATCGTGCTCGTTATTACAGCTGCTTAATTAAGGCTGTCCCTGACTGTCAGGGCGCACTGTGTCGCCTGTCAGCAGCTCATTAAGAAGCGTGTCCCTCTCCCCTCTGCCCCCTTCTCGCCCCATTACCCTGGAGCGCATGCAGGGACTGGCCCCTGCCCAGTCATCACTCTCAGCCCGCTGACACGGGGAGCGGGAATCAGAGCAGTGCTCGGCGGCGCAGAGACAGCTGCTGTCCTCTCCCTGTCCCCAATTACCGGAGACTGAGGCTTCATGAACCCCATGAGGGGCGGAGCTACCGAGTGCTGTCAGTCACTGGCTTTGGGGCTCACGAAGCATTGCATTACATTACATTACATTATTGCCATTTAGCAGACGCTCTTATCCAGAACAACTTACAATTTTATCCATTTATACAGCTGGCTATTTACTGAGTTGAGTACTTGGCCCAAGGGTACAGCAGCAGTGCCCCAGCAAGGAATTGAACCAGCAACCTTTCAGTTAGAAGCTCTGCTCCTTACCACCACGCTACACCGCCACTCCAAATCTGCACCTCTCTCTGCAGTGCTTACGATGGGGCTGCCCTCGGTAGTTTGTGCAGGGAGTAACGGGCAGCTGTGAGCGTTCCTCCATGGCCAGGTCCCCACTCCCCTTTTTATCAGGGGCGCTGGTGACCTGTGCCCACGCACCCATGCTGGCATGCTCCTTTGGTTGACCCTTCCTTGGTTTGCTGTGAGCTATGAGAGCTTTCTGTGAGAGTACTGTGACCACAGTATGCTGTGCTGCCTGCCCCTGTCCCCACTCCATAAGGACAGGTGGATATTAAACAAACTCCCTCCTAGGACACCGATACCTGAAACCCACACTGCTGGTGCAGCAAGTGCCTCTCATTAATGTTTGATGGGGTGCTGTTGGTCCCGCACCGAGGCCTTCCAAAGCTTCCGATATCGGGGCTGCAGGAATATAGGCCACCAAAGCAGCCGAAAAGACCTGTTTCTCTCTTCTGTCTCTGTCTGAACCGGATGGATGTGTGTGCAGGTTTCTCTCTCCTCCCCACCTTTAACCCCTCACACCTCTCACAGTGAGGGTAACACCCAGGTTCAGGTGTTGCCGAGAAACTGAAAAGAAGGGACACACGAAACAGAGGATGGGGGGAAAGATTACTAGACTGCATCTTGGAGGAACGAAAGGGTTTTACACTAAATGGTTACGGAAAAACCTCTCTCAGGGTTGTTTGAGCCCTGTCTGAGCCCATGTCAGGGGCAGATTTATGGAGGAATTTAACAGCAGGGAACATTTAATTTATCTGAGAGAAGTGGAGTAATTCCATTCACAGAAGCAAACTCATGCATTTCAGATTTCTCATAGCCTGCGATGTGGATTTCCTCAGTCAGAAACTGGAACACGCTCTGCTGGGCATAGTGCGCCACCTGTTGGTGGCATTTTGTAACTGCAGAACAATCCGGCCGCGGAATCCGATTGCAGCGCGTTCGGTGCTGTGCCCGTGAGCCGCCTGTTGCCGTGCGCTTCACGGGCCGCCTTCTCTCATGCAGGTGAACGGCGTCAACATCGAGTCCCTGAGGCACTCCGAGGTGGTGGCCTTCATCAAGAGCGGCGGGGACGAGACGCGGCTGCTGGTGGTGGATCCGGACACGGACCAGCACTTCAAGAAGCTGGGCATCGTCCCCACGGAGGGACACATTGCAGGTAGCACAACTTAACCTGTGGCAACGCTCGAACAGTGTTGTGCTCACACTCGCTGGTCTGGGAGTGTTGTCAGCCCGGTCTAATACTGTTGCTCATTCAACTTGAACAGAAACGCTGGTGTTTTCTTGTGCTGGAAGTCACTCTGGATGAGAGTAAAAAATAAATAAATAAATGAATAAAAATTATTGGCATTTAGCAGACACTCTTACCCAAAGTGACTTACATTGGTTCGTTTTTTTTTTTACAATGTTAACTATTTATACAGCTTGATATTTACTAAGGCAATTGTCGGTTAAGTACCTTGCCCAAGGGTTAAGCAACAGTGTCCCAACAAGAATCAAACCAGCTACCTCTCGGTTATGCGTCCTGTTCCTTAACCATTATGCTAAATTGTCGTCCAACTATTTGTTAAATGAATGTTATGTAATGTGATATTCATGTTTACGTTTGGTAGATGCTCTTATCCAGAGTGATATGCAAAGCCAAGTACACAAGTGCATGTAATATGGCCACAGGTCCAACAGTACAGGCAGAAAACTTCAGGCCAAAGTTTGATCCGCAGAATCAATTCCACCCAACCTATTGTTTTATTCAGGTTCCCTGAGCATATTGTCGAGTTGTTAGGTGTCCTCTACTTTTTGTCATTTTTAAATTTAGAATGTCAGGATCTAAAGAGATTTGTAAATTATTTTATAACCAATTGTTACAAAGTGCCGTATTTCCACTCTGAGACTTTCGATACATCCCGGCCCTGGTTTGTATTGACGTGTTGATTGTGCTGGTGTTACGTCTCCCCCTTGTGGACAGATTACGTACCGCAGCCTGTGACGAACGGCTCCCCAAATCTCCAGGTCAACGGCAGCTCAGCGTCACAGTCCACCCACTCCGATCTGAGCACCCCTGATACCAGCACACAGGTATGAGACAAGGAGGAGGAGACAGGGGAGTGTGTGTGTGTGTGTGTGTGTGTGTTTGTCTGTGTGGAAAGGAGATGAATTTGTATCTGTATTTTTGTGCTGTGTTCATAATCTATATGTGTGTATGTGTACATTTATTGTTTGTGGGGATGTGTCTGTTTATGTGTGTGTGTACAGAATATGTGTGAACTGTGTGTGTGTGTGTGTGTGTTTTTTTTTCTGTTGTTACTCATGTGTATATGTGTATATTAGTTTTGTGTATGTGTGTGCATGCATGCGTGCGTATGTGTGTGTGTACATGTGTGTGGGTGGGTGGATGTGTATGTGTGGCTGTGTGTGTGTGTGTGTGTGTGTGTGTGTGTGTAGAGGTTGTCACATATGTCCCTCTCTCCCTCAGGCCACAGATGAGAATGAGTGCCCCCTGCTGGACCCGTTCGAGGAGAGCGGTCTTCGGCTGAGCCCCACGGCCGCAGAGGCTAAGGAGAAGGCCCACGCCAAGCGTGCCAAGAAGAGGGCGCCGCAGATGGACTGGAACAAGAAGCACGAGCTCTTCAGCAACTTCTGAAAAACTCACCTCCCCTTTCTCCTCCAAAACAGCTGCACCCCTCCCCCCTCGCCCTGCCCTGCACACCTCACAAGACTGCTCTCAGCAGAGGCGATTTTTTTTTTTTGTAAAACAGCTGGGAAATTTTGGCTGGGGGGCTAAGAGGGGGCGTTGATTCTCCAGGACTGATGAGAAAAAAATGCTAGGCAAAACACCTCAGAGGGAAGAGACATGCGACACCCCCCAGGCTCTCTTGCCCCCCTCCCGGCGCCCCCACCACCCCGCAAGGGAGAGCCTCTGACCTCACGCGTCCTCAGATGTGCGCACACGGAAGCGCGGTCCTTGCTCTGCTCAAAGGCACGCCGTCTCCACGGGCTTCTCCCCGCGTCCGTTCATCTGGTATTCCAGAACATTTCCTCTCGCTAGACCTCCTCCCCCGCCAGGAACATCTGCCGCGCACATTCGGTGGCCGGCCATGTTTTCACTCCCACTTACTGTTTTTAGGCTCTCGCGCAAAAATTAAGGGTTCCTCCTCGGCTGCTTGACATCTATGAAGACACATTTGAATTTAATTCGAGAACACAAGCTGAGCGTTTAGTGTTCATTCTTTTTTGGGGGGGCAGGGGAGGGGGCGGGTAGTAACTGAAAGGTCCTGAGGGGTTGGTATATTGGAGCCCTGCAGAATCATCCTAAAAATGGTCAACAGCCCCACCCCTGCTAATCAATCCCATGACAGCTAGTTCTCAGAGCCGAGCATTATGGTAG